AGACAGATAGACAGACACAGACACAGACACAGACAGACACAGACAGAAGACACAGACACAGACACAGACACAGACAGACACAGACAGAAGACACAGACACAGACACAGACACAGACAGACAGATAGACACAGACACACAGACACACACACCTCAACATGTTACGATTGTTACTGGCCACACCTCTATCACTGCTCTCACCTTCATCCATCAGACATTTCCTCTCTTTTATTTTGTTAACATGCTTTGTGTCACGTGACATCTCCTGCACGTGTAAGTTCTAAGCGTCCTGTGGTTCTCTCCGAGGTTTCAGCGTTTATTTATTTTCCTCTGTTTCTCCTCTCTCCAGTCGAGGGTGAAGCTCAGAGGACGTCACACCTTGTAGTCTGGAGAGCGTTAAGCCCTCTGAGGCAAAGTGTGATTTGTGAAAATGGTCTTGTAAAGATTTAACTTGATGAATCGCTGCTGGTGTGATTTCATTCTATTGTTTTTGTAAGTGCAATACATCTTTTGCAATAAGTTGGATGGTCAAAGGGTTTGACGAGAAAAGTTCATCATTTCACAAACATACTGTTATTTGCTTTTGTTCTGTGATACGCTCCTACGTCAGTACAGTAAATACAAGTTTCCGCCAGCAGCCAGTACTCTGCCCAAAATCTAGATAGAGCTGGAAACAGTTCTGTCCAAAGGTGATTAAAGTGATGCCAATTAACATGTTGCAGGGAACAGTTCCCAAAATGTCCTGCTATTACTTTCAGTATTTACATTTTTTTTTTATTGAGTCTGTTCTAACTATAGAATGTGCTGAAGTCTAAAATGTGACACAGCCTGACTTCTGCTGTGACACATTCCTAATGTGACTTTAAACTACAAAGTGCCACATTGCATAACGTCACGTTCTGCATTTCCTCTCACTCGCTCCTCTGGCCGGTAAATGACGTTACGGTGCAGTAATGTCAGTGACGTGGTCGGGCTGGGTTCAGAGGTCACGGCACAGCTGCAGCACACACAGCGCCGTCCACTGCATGTCTTCATAACCATAACTACAGGGTTGTGCATGACACACTCAGGGCCGCGCAGCAACGAGGAAGGCAAGTAAGGACAGAGGCTGACTCAGGAAAACTTGGGAACAGTGGCACAGATAGGAGTTTAGATTTGAGTCACCTCATTAGGAGCAGAAAAACCACAACTCAGAAAACCATGGTTTCCTTTTCTTTTTTCACCTCAGGAGACACAGTAGGTGGCTCCATCAAATCCTGCGCCCACTTAGACATTTTCAGATTGTTCATAGAGAATAAAAAATTTATTAAGAACCCAGCAAATGAAACAGGTTAATTTTTTAACTTATAAAAATACGTTTATTATATATAAAACATGTGCTTATTTACGGAAAACTCCTCCACCGATTTGACTGAAACTTGGTTGAAGGGTGTGGTATAATAAAGAATCCAGTAAATTCTGGAGTGGATTCAATTAAGGGGGCACACTCGTTTTTCAACATGTCTGTGAATTCCTCAAGAAATAACACAAAGCCCTCGATGATTAATGGGACAGATTCTGTGTGTGTGTTTAATTTGGTGCAGGTTGCTCAAGTTTAAAGAGACTGTGGTAAAAAAAACAAAAAAAACACTTGTTTTTAAGAGTGTAGTGTCGTCTCAGTGTCAAACGCTAAAAAATTCACTTGGAGACAAAAATATTTGGTTTCTCAACATTTTGGGTCAGAACCTCGAGCGCGGCTGCCAAAGTGTTTGTGCACTAACCGTACGCTTTGCATGCAGAGGACTCTTATTGCAACAGAAGTTGTGCCGATCTGTTCCAAATTAGACGAGCTGGCCTGTGGGGAATTCTCCTGCAGCTATTTTCTTTGGCTACGAGCAGGAACTGCACATGATTCCCATGAGCACTTTCCTCTGCAGTCGAGGAATAATATGTGGACGCACACATTGTCAGCGAAGTTAAAGCACTTTGCCTGTAACACAAGCCACATGCATTTGCATAATGAGAGCCAGGTTGCAAGAGGCTAATGCAGCGATGTACCTGATGTGTGTTAGTGCCTGTGTCTCTGGGGTCTGAGGCCTCACTGGGAAACAATAACCACAAAAATGTAATAAAAGAAGAGAATGATAATATGGATGAAACTCAAACAAACGGGAGCAAAACTTACTTCCAGCCAAACTCAGCAGTTTGCCTTTCGGTTCCCATTTTATTGATTTCCTCCCTGGACTTTTATACAATAGATTATTTTAATGACAATCATTTACGTGATACTTTGTGTACGTGTTCATTAAACAACCACACATGTCCAACACCACAAACCTTTGCATGAAGTCAAAGCAAGGTGTGCGCCTTATGTAACCTCGTGTGTGTGTATGTGTGTGATCCCATGCACCCATGGGACCTCCCTCTTAAAATCCATCCTCCATCTCCAGTGTCAAGAAGAACAATATCCAGTTTCATTCACTGGCTAGACTCATTCTGTCAGAATCTGTCCAGTCTGCACGGACACAACCTTTAACCCTGAGGTGACAGGTCACAGGTTTATTTGACAAACTGTATATTGTTTAATTGTTGTCGACAGAATTATTACAACTTTAATTTGTTCAAGAATCATTTTTACAC